AACCCGCTGAGTGGCATTAAACAGCTTGAAAGATCAAAGACAATTTTTTTATATAACTCCGACTAGATTCGTCTGAAAGAAGAAAGTCATATGTGTATCACTAGGATGACTTGAGGGTGAGTAATTTATGGGCTAATTTTCATTTTTGGGTGAACTAACCTAACCCTTTAATGTGAGGTACAGATGAATATTTGTCGTTAAATTCAAGTTCATGTAAACTCTTCTCTCTGCTGCGGCTGTCAGTCATCCTGCATTCAAACTGCGAGTCACATTCGGTTACGACAGTCAAAACAATGAAACTCTCTTCAAGAGCGCAATTTAAACTGAAATTTAAAACTGTTAAAAGAAAAGGCTCAATAAACTATCGCACAGATATAATACACTACGCATCAATATCTCTTTCCTTTGTGCTTTGAACTTCTCGATGCGGAGCTGCGCGCTGTGACTCCGTGTTGCTTCAAGCACTTCGTTCTGCGCACGGGATGTGCATAAGTGCTTTGTGCCACTCTGTATTGGAGCTTTTCGTATTATAATACTTTTGTGCAATGAAAGATTATTTATAGCGTTTCTTGTTCTGTCCTATGATATGACAGACAAAGGAAGGCTATAAATAATCTAATGTATAGCACAGTAATGGAGGCAGCAACATATGATAGATAGGACTAGGGCTGCACGATATTGGAAAAAACTCACATTGCGATATTTTATTTTTCTGCGATATATATTGCGATATGTAAAAAAAATCACCACATAACTTGAATAGTTTATTTAGGGGGAAAAAATAATCAATGATTGGGGTGATTTTGTAGGCGAGTAAATCAGCATAGGAAATAAACAAATTACAAGCATAGATACATATAACAGAACAAAGATACAAATGAAATAAGCAGTGCTTTAGCCTATATTTTTCAGGTAAGTCTAACAGTATTCAGGTACAGAAATTGAATAATCAAATGTAAAATAACACTGCATAGTCTTCACTGTATAAATTAAATCTAATAAATCTGTGTTAAAGCTACAAAAGTGATTTTTCTGTTTTGTTGTTTGATTAACATTCATAACACAGAAAGCCTCAGGAACATTAAACTGCTGTAAACCAATATACTGTTACACATCCATTTTCTTTCTCAATTGTTTCCCTTCACCTAAGCCATAAGCAACTGTGTGTTTACAAGGATACTTGCAGAGCACAGTATTTCAGGCACAAATAGATGCAGAAGTGAACAGAAATTAGTGTTCACGTGCATCTGCGTGGCTCTCACCGTGTCTACACTGGACGCGAGCGACGCGACAAAATACAATGAACCTATTATAATCAGTGATGCTGTCTGTCTACACTGGATGCGGCACGGCACAACAAATCCCGACAGTAAACTGATGGCGCGTTCTCTTTATGAGGTACTGACACAAAGTTCAAATGATGGGCAACGGTCGCTTTGTCGCGTCCAGTGTAGACAGACTTTGGGGCCGTTCACATGTCGCGCCTAAAAACGCGTGGGAAAAGCCAGTCGTGCCGCTTCTTTCCAAGGCCCTGTCCCAAATGGAACACTTCATGTGCACTTGTGGTCTTACGGACTTACAATGGCCGCCGCGTGCGCGTGTCCGTTAAGTCCACGAGACCGTCCCCTTTGCGGCCGTTATGAGCCCTTGATCCGCACTTCTGCTGAGCCCGCACTGGGGCGAGCTCCGCAGCAGACTTCTACCCGTCACGAAAGTGCAGACTCAGAGGAAGACCGAGGGTTTAGGGTGCCATTTGGGACAGGGCCCAAAGCGCTCGGGAGCTTGCGCTTTCGTGGCGTCTGCCGTTGCTAAGCAACCGTGACCAGCGCTCTCCATGACGACTCGGAAGTTTCAACAAAGGATAAATGGATTTCCAACACTGAAAATCGCATGCAGTAGCTCTGCTACTAAATTTATTTAAAATGGGTATCTCTGTACAGCTGTCGCATCTGGTGTAGACATTGTGTCTGTGTGTGAGCAAAGAAAACAATCAGTACAAATATAACAATCAGTAGCCCATACTAAACATTGCACATCCTGCGATGTGACTATCGCGGATGCACATATCGCGATATCGATGCTGAAACGATATATCGTGCAGCCCTAGATAGGACTCCTCTATCTATCATATGTTGCTGCCTTCATTAATGTGCTATACATTTAAAAGAAATGTCTTTTAATTTTATAGTTTATATTTAATTATAAATAAATACATTTACATACAAACAATACAAAGAGCAATGTGTAACATTGTACCAGATTTAGTCCTACACTTATTCACGTTTATTTGTTCCCCACTAAAATGTTATTTCACTAAATGTTTAGATTTTATAAAATTGTGCACTCATTATTTTTCTAGAATAACTTTTACTGCTAAATTATCCACTAACCTAGTTCATAATAGTATTTTTGTCATAGATTGATATATTTTTTCATGTTATTTTTCATTAAAATGAATTTGTCTATATTTAGCAGATTGTGTTTAACACACAAAAGAGTGCCGAACAGGTCAACACACGGAAGTTTAGAAATTCTACATTGATAAAAAAAAAAAACTGAGCTGGTATCGGATCGGAATCAGCCGATACTCAGAATTTTCTGGATCGGATCTGAAAAAATGGTATCGTTGCATAAGTCTCAACATTTTAGTCTAGTTTTAGTCAAAGAAAACCTGAAGTATTTTAGTCTAGGTTTAGTCAATGAAAACTTGACATTTTAGCAATAAGATTATTATTAGTTAACCGTACAGAAGTATTAATTTTGGCAGGCATTTTTTTATTTAGCTAGTCTTAGTCTTACTCAAATGTACATTTTAGTTATCATATTTAGACAACCTTGTCCTGTTTTTGTTTAGTCAAGTTTAAGTCAATGTAATGTATGAGCATTTTAGTCAAGTTTTGGTCAATTAAATCTTAAGCCGGGC